CTCTGTGGATTTATCTTTACTTTAAAGGAAATATACTTTTATGCAATTTCTTTGGTTACTTTGGGTTCCCAGTGTTCTAATACCAAGGTATACGATATAATTGTTTTTATTTAATAATCGTAAAAATTGAGACTGAAATTATAAGTTAACTCGAGATGATATCTATTTATTACTTCTTATATGATTTTTATTCTTATAATATATAATATGCGATTTTATTCTGACTAAATATTGTATCTCTTATATTAAGAAATTCTCTCTCTCTTTCTATTAATTATAATCATACGAATGTTCAGAGTACCTATTATTTTATTTTATCGAGAATAAATATGTACTTTAAATATATTTAACAGGCAACTCTTATTATTCCTAATATTTTTTGAGCTCTTGTATTCTTAATTACTATTTGTCTAATACTTTGATCAAATTGATCAATTTTACAAAATTGAACTTTCCTGTAAAAATTTAACATTAATTTAAAAGTTTAATTTTAAAAATATTTTCCAAAAAAATAATTATTCATAATTATTATTCAAAATAAAGTATTTATAATGAAATATAGCGAGTTCTTTTAGAAATCGTACTTGATCAATAAACACAATTGTGGTTAAAATGCAGTATTATTTATTTTATTGAAATATTTGATTTCTGATTGTATTTCTTGATAAAACCACAGCACACTACGAATAGTGCAAGTGGAACGATATTAGTAGAAATTGCAACGGACATTTAGCCGCATCGGACCATCATTTAACCCAAAATTGTCCCAGTGCTGCAGCAAACGCGGCGTTAAATGGTATCGCTTCATTTAACGCTGTTCGCAAAGATGGCCACAGCTAAATCCTGTTTTATTGAACTAAGTTCAATGATTGTTCAAACACCTATGCTAATTACCTGAACTTATCCATGAAGATACAGAGAATTGATCGACAATTGATCTTGTTGTAATTATTATTTTTGAAATTAAATATATTGATAATTGATAAAATTGATCATTGAAGAAACATTCTACAGAATGACATCAATTTTTTATTTTATTGGATTAGATGCTAAAGCGTTGCAAACAATCTTTTAAAATTAAGTAAAGAGAAGCTTTCAATTTTTAAATCCATAGTTTTAGTTATCTGTAAAATTTTTTTAATATCTGGAACTCCTTTGAATTTTTTCAACTTTCTGTAAAGTAATTTTTAAAGAAATTTAATTAACGGATGTAAAAGAATCTTTAAAATAATCCCATATAATCATGATTATACAATTATTTCTCATAAAATTGCATCGATTTTAAGAACAATAAGTTTGTAAATTATCCAAATACTTGTTAACAATATATTATCATCTAAATTACCAATTACAATCATGCTTATAGAGAAATTTTGCCAAATTTTGAAATCGGCTCGAGTCATACTCACTCTTGTTGGATAAGTAGGTTAAGGGGATTGTTGCCTAGGAAAGGAACACGTGAGGAGACGATGGATCCATCGTGTATATTGTGACGACACGTACACGGGGTTTATATGCGCGAACACGAGCGGATCCGGCCCGCTTTTACATTGGAAACGCGCCACCAAAGACTCCCTTTATCGATAATATCTTCTTGTGCCAGCACCCGAGGGGGCCTCGAGAGATGTTTCTCACGTCTGACGCGTTCTTCTTCTGCCTCGAGATCGGAATTTTTGCGTGTGTTCCAGTATGGTAATGCTGGAGGAGGAAGGCGGAGGATGATGTGGCTGGAACCATTTTAAAGATTTAGGGATGGGATCCTGGGCAGCTGTCCATGGAGCTGTCCGCTCTTGGTGGATTGGAAAACGATATTCGAAAACGTGAGCGACATATTTATACTTAAATTGAAGCGTCTGGACTGCGAATATTCATATGAATTCAAATTTTAATGAATTGAAAGAAGTGAAATGAAGATCCATTCCTTTAATTATTATAATTCGTTTTGGATACGTCCTTTTCGCATATAATATACATTCTTTTAGATTTTTGCATATTAATATTCTATCTTTTTTTATTAAATTTGATTATAATTTAATAAATGTGTTTTAAAGAATATTTTTGTATGCCCAATTCTATATGTTTTTTATTGAATACTAGATACCTAGAAAAGTAGATACACTATTTATTTATATATATTATTATTATTTATTATATATTATTATTATTATTTATATATATTAAAATATAGCATAATAATAATATAACATTATAATATCGAAATCTCCATGCCAATTATAAATAAAAATGAATAAGAACAAGAAAGTTAAAGGGCGTCATAAGAGATAGAATTTTATCTCATGGACTTGACAGATATGGATTCGAATCTCATTTGATTAACTCGTTTTTTTTTTCAATTTTTACATATTATATTCAATAGACATTATATATTTCTATCTAATAATGTTAATATATTTAGGATTCTTATAATAGGCATGAAGATTTCGATACAATACTATACTATTCCTATATAATATTCCTGTTAATATATTTTTAAAAGGATATAATATACTTACTAGAAAACAGAAAAATTAGAGAATAAAATTGCAATCATGTTTCATCATGTTTCATCATGTTTCATCATAAGCAGAGCCACATTATCTCAAATTTCATCCACTTGTGTGAGACAATTTCATGGACCTTAGTTGAAGGTCCAATCGAAATTGGATTAAGGTCATTCAATAGTCTCTGGATATCACTCGCGTTCGGTTCCATCCACTGTTCCTTTCTTCGAATCGTAACGGACAGCGAGATACCGTGGTCGAAGGAGATTGTGGGTAGAGAGTGAGTTCCTGGCAAATGGAAAGCCGGCTTACCCTCCGAAATTACGGCCACTCTCATTATACCGAAGGCCGGAATTACGCCTGCCCTGGAAACCTAGTTGAATTTAGGGATAGGTTTCGATATTGGTCAATGGACACATGGCCTTTGCTTTGATGGAAAAGTGCGTTTGATTATTGGAATGATTTTCTTGCTTAAAAGGAGATTTGAATGAAGTATGACGAGGTTTTTGTGATAGATTTATGAGAAATTAGATTCAAACATTTCTTCATCGATGATCTTTATGTTTTAATGCTTCCATGGATTCTTCTTCAGCCATGAATATTATAATAATATGGAATATAGTAAATCTAATTATTCCAATTTATTAATTGAAATTACTATAATCCTGTATTAAAACTTTTGAGTGTAAATATTAAATGAGTGTATTTCATTTAAATATTTTATGTTATATTTTAGTTTTTCACTTTTGACTACGATGCTTCATTATTTCTTCTTCTTATAAGCATTTTAAAATTCAATCTATAAGAAGATAGGAAAAGATGATTTATTCGAACATGTGTGATAAACATATCTGAAATTTAAAAATCTCAGGGATTACCTGTGAACATTATTTAGAAGAAATTTAGTCCTCTAACTCGTCCAATTCGATTGAAGTCGTCCATTAGACTTAAAGATTAAGATTATTGAAGCTAATTCATAAATCCACCTTATAATTATCAATTCCAAATCTTAAATAACATAGAATTTCATGAAAAATTTCTTCTTTCCTTTATATTATCAGTATCCAAATGATAATTTTAAATATCACTTAAACTTTCTATTTCAATAGTTTTCCAACGATGAAAATCTAAAATAGGAAAATTCTATTATATTCTCCATTCCATTTTCACTTCCAATCATAAATATTCCAACCACAGATTACCAGATTCTCACGATTCTTTTCCAAGATTTGTGACGCATCCTTGAACAAATAAAAGTATCCGGATGGGCGAGAAGAATGGGCGAGAAGTATCCAACAGAGCCAAACAGCTCATCCGGAGGCGGTACTCCAAAGTCAAGGCCGGAAAGGATAATTTTACGAAAGATACGTTTCTAATCGAGCGTTAATGGTTTACACCAGAGAGCGTCTAACCTCCATGCTCGTTGTTCACCCGGAAAAATAGTTTCCACTTTTTGCTCCGCTTCTCAACCCCATCCCTTAGTCCCGTCCCTTCTTCTAAGCGATTGCATCTGTTCTCGAAATTGAATCAGAGTGTGGTGTAAAAAGGAATACCGGGAGAAAAGGGGGAGGAATCGATCGATTTCAATTTGCCAACAACTCGAAACGAGTTACTTTGTGCGGAAAGGAGGTTCAAGTGGCTCTACTTTTTTAAAAAGGAAAACCTTCTTGAAATACGTAGTACGACTATTGGAACAGCTGATATATCATATCAAATATGATGTTTGTTAGAGATTGAACGTTTTAGGCGTGTTTAATTTTTTGTTACCAACATTTTCATTCTGTTGACGTGAATTCTTCATTTTCTTTTGCATGGTGTAACTGCTGTTGCATATACTATGTAACATATTTTGAATTTCGTTAGATTTTTGGTATGATATTAAAATGCATAGTTGTCCATCAAATCATCCTATAAATAATATCGTTTTGAGAAATTAATTTTAACGAGTAATGATATTTTAATGAAATAATGATACTTATCCTTTTTTTTTCCACGAATGTTCAAGTCTTTTTGTCGCGAAGGTTGACCAAGTTTACGAAGGCACGCCTTCACTTCGATATAAAACTTAGTTTCATTTTCACGAGCTGTAAAAAGTTCGCAACTCGCGCCAAGTATTCCGAAAGAAATATCCTTTCACTCGTGACACGATCTTGATTTTTAATTAAGCGACACGATCAAACTTCCGTTCTTTTATATTTCCTTCTTTAGTTCGTCCACAGTAAATTTTATCTCGAGAGATGTCGCCCCGATTTATTTCTAATTATTTGTCAAAAGTTCCTAGAAATTATAACTCTTCGATTTTCTACAATTCTTGCTAAGATTTTATAGATATTGAAGACTGTATAACTTGAGCAACACTATGGCTCTATGGACTATTTTTATCTCGCTCTTTTAGTGCATTTTTAATGCAACTTTCAATATTTATATCGTCTATCAAATTTTTAAGAGATATAAAAATAAATTTCTTCAATCTTTTTTAGCTAAAAATAAATTTCTTCAAACTTTTTAAAGCTTCTTCGAAATTGTTCAATTTTCCAATTTTATCATCGCCATTATAAGAAACAACGTGAGATATACGTGAAAGATGGGGTAATTTGATCTTCGCAGTTGTGTCTCAAGCGTGTAGAAGTCTCTTATAATCTTCTCGACAATTCTCGCAGTGCGATGATATACGTGATGGATTAATCGTTACATACACCTTGATTGATGGCAAACATCTGTCCCGGATATCTTGTTGGAATCAAGGAAGGAGCATTAGCCCGTTCTGAAATGAAGATGAATTATATCTACTTAATAGAAATATAGATACGTTCGATGAATACTCGATTCGAAATTCTTGCGAAATTTTTACGATTAACTTCGTGAAGGAAAATATCTGATTATTTTTTTTCAGAGACTTTTGATAATCGAATATTCCGTTTCATTTTGATTCTAAATAGTTTTTGTTCCAACAAATTTAGATGTTTTCTTTGTCGATGCTATTCTTAAAGAATTGAGAAACAGTCGATTGAAACTTCCAGGCGATTTCGTGAATTTTTCACGAAGGAAAGAATTTCGCAATATAAGAGAAACGGAGCAAGAAAATAAAAGATTTTTTACTCGGTCAATCACTCCTATTATTCGACAATTTATGTTTGTACATTCCATCTTTCCTTTGAGTCTATTCTGATCATCAAATATTCCATGAACATGGCTTATTATTTTCGATTCGTTATTTGTTGTAAATTCAAAACAATATCCCAAAAATGAATTTCTGAAACAAAATATACATTTATATTAATTCATTCGTAAAATATCTTTCGATTAAAAACTTCAAATATCAAACTCAAAATATCAAAACAAGCAAATATTACTTCAATTTTTCCCATAATTTTGAACCCATAAATTTTCAGCTAGGAGACACTCCTCGTTTCTTCCATTATTACCAGGCAAAAAATCCGCCGTTGCACGAGCGTAAAACCGCCATTTCAGATCTCGATTCCCAGCAAATCAAGCTTAAGTCTCATTCCATTCGGCGTCTTCCCGATCCTCGAGAAAAATCCTCGGTCTTTATAAATAAAACATGGTGGAAGGACACACAAGCGCGAAACGTTACGTGGTAGAAGTAACGGTCTCGACGGGATAGTATTTTATTCGAGGCGCGTGACTCTAGCCATCAGAGCCGCAGATACGTGTATATCCAGGCCGAAGTCCTATGGATCTCGTGGCTTTGTTGGCCCCCAAAGGGGATAAGGGGATGTCTACGTGTCCGCCTCCGTGGAGTCAAAGTCGCGTCGACGTCCAGAGCAGCGGAGGACGTACAAAGGGCGTGGAAACACGGTTGTGTGTCGTCGTCGGCCGTTTTCACGAGGCTTGGGTTAAATTACGCGTAAAACGCGTCTGTTTGACTCGTGCCACGTGCAAGCGTGCTTGCATTTAAGCTGCGAGCAAAGGGGTTAAAGGAAGGAGGAGGGGAAGATGGAGATTGAAGGGGAGGGAGAGAAGAAAGAAAGAAAGAAAGGGGAGATTGAAGAGGGGAGAAAAAAATATAGGAGGAGAAGGAAAAAAGGAAAAGAAGAGATATGTGTGTGGTGGAGACTTTTGGAGAAAATCTGAAAATATAAAAATATAAATATTAGTTTAAATATATAACTATTAGAAGAAAATTTATAGTCTACTTTATTATAAAGGAAAATATCAAGGTATTATTGCTTTGAAGGAAATTGAAATAGAAGAAGAAAGGCAAAGGAGGATAATAGAAAAGAATGGGATGTGTTAATAGGATTAGATATTAAAGAAATTGGTAAAGAAAAATATTAAAAAACCTACCACAAAAGAAGAGTATTATTGAATCCTATTTTAAAGAACATAGAACACCAAGTATGTTTTCAGGATCTCTTGTATGTACCAAGAAAAGTTGAAGAACTACTAATTACTTCTTAATTTAATATATTACTTTTATATATATCTTTTCCTTTAATCAATTTTACTCTTCTTAAAATATGGCAAAAATATATTTTATTAATTTTTAATATGAAAATTATACTCGTTAGATTATCCTCTTAAGATCTATAAGAGATAGAATTGTCAGATTAAGTTATGCAAGGTGTCATAGAAGAGGGGGCGGTGATCATTGGCTACGAAGGAATTAATAATGGTGCGAGATTAATTGCGCGGTACGCGGATAATCGATGACCGATATCCAAGTGCATCTTACGCGTGTTGGCAATTTAATTAGTGGGACATGTTCACTCCTGTTTGATTATCATAATGACGAAAGGGACTCTGGTAAATTATCGTAACGCTCGTGTAGAACACGTGTTAACAACATTCGTTTATCTCTTTTCTGAAATCGTTGTGTTCAATCACATGTAAATACATGTCCTCGTTATACGTGCAAAGTATTCCAATTAAGCACATTTGATTTTGTATTTTTTAAAAAAAAACTTTTCTTGTTTCAAAAATGTTATTGATTAAAAGATATAATTAAAAGAAATTCGAATATTGAATATTTGATATTTTGTTTTTTTTTTTTTTTGCATATCTATTA